AAAGATCGTAAAGTTGCCAAGGGATGGGATATGAAAACACATCCATGGTGAAAGAGTGCGAATGTGCTTAGAAGCATGGCTCTGCAGCTCTTCAGTGCCCGTGGACTGCTGGAATCAGATAGGCAGGTGGGCAGGCATGCAGATGGATGCCTCGCAGGCCTGCCGGCTCTACCAAAGCCTGGGGTAAGAGAACAGGGCAGGGTAGCCCTCCGTTGACAGGGAGGCTCTTCTCTGCAGACCAGGGGAACAGGGTCTCCCCTCCTTCACTCCCTCCTTCAGTCTCCACTTACCTTCTTCCTACTTGGCCCACTCCCACCATGAAAGCAATCAGCTGGAGCCTCACAGGCGCTTCCCTAGATATAGGGGCCCCTTCCTAGGGGCTCTAGGGGTGATGGCTGGGGGTCATCTCTGACTAGCAGGGGAAGGAACTAACATTTACCGAGTTTCCACTACAGTTCCATTATGGAGCTAGTCCCCTCTGTTCTCAAGTGCCCTCTCTAGGAGTCATTTCACAAGTCCTGCTGGTGATAGAGATGGAAGAATAAAGCCATGTGGCTTTGAGGGCAAGAGAACCAGCAGCTCCGAGCGCTAAGTGAAGGCCCAAGGCTGGGACAGAGGCAAGTCCCTGGTGGCCTCCAGGGTTCAAGAAATCATTCACTTACTGGGGAAACTGGCTCCACCAGGAGTGGCTTGCTGGTGTGTCTTTGAATTTGATACCAGAATCTGAGAAGGAATATATGCCCAGCTTCCAGTTGCTGAGTTGGAAGACAGATCCTAACTACTCAGCAGGCAGGGCTCAAGATCATGGCAAGGAAAGCCCTTTTCACTAGATCTGGAGTGCAAGTGGAAAGCAAGGGAAATGGTTTCTACCTTTTTTTTTTCTTTCCCTTTTCTCAATCCTATTTTATCTGCAATCAGTAACAGCATCAAAACAGCCAACTCTGCAGGTACTTGTGTGCTGGAATGAGAGAGATGCTGCCTGCAAGGAGAAGTTCCAAGGAGGCAGGTGTCAGGGAAGCAGGCAGGACAGGTGTGAGGTATTGGCTTGGCAGCAAGTTACATGGACAATCCTGCACGCAATCCCCAGGTCTTTGGGGTGAACCACGTGGTCACTCGACAGAGCAGGGAGTGGCCTTCTGAGATCTGGTCCTGCAGGGATATGAGTTTAAACCTGGGTGTGCTGGGGGCTGGGCCCAGAGCTCATTTCATGATGTACAGGAAGAGAAAAGCTGGTCTTCATGTGAGCTCTCTAGGAAGTGGGGAAGGACATGAAGACTGATCAGCTGCCGTGGTATACCTGGGCAGGGAGAGACAAGCCCAGGCCAAATGGAAAGCCTTGAGCTACCTCATAGTGACATGCCAAAGACTAGGCATGTGCTCTCTCCCAGGGAAGACCTGTGCCTTTTGCCTCCTCAGCTCTGGTGGAATTAAGAGAGAGCACATCTCAGTGGCACTAAGGACTACATTCCTTGCCAGACTCAGTCCAGAAGTGGGTTTGTGAGCAAAGGGCACACTTGTGTCCCTATGGAAAGTGGCAATTTTGTGTTGTGATTTGCAATTCTTGTTCCAGGTACTCTGTGTGCTTTGCAGGAACAAAGGGACAAGATGACTTCAAGCCTCCTGTTGGTGAGTAGAGGGCTGAGGGTGGCTGGCCAGCGGCCACTGAAGAAAGAGCAGAACAGGGTTTCCCATCTCATGACAAAGGAGAGCTTCCATATCCCTCAGGGTTGGGACAGAATCTGAACTCTCTTGAGCATCTAAGGAGACAGAGGATTTCAAGCATTTGCTAGGGTTTGGTCAGACAGTAGAGGAGTTACCTGGCAGAGTCCCAACAGAGAAGAAACAGAGTCACAGTTTCCTCATTAATGGGGAGGTCCACTTCGGTCTCATTGCCACCCTGTGCCTCAGTTTCCCCATCCAGGCTAAGCAGCCTGCCTTGCAGGGTTATTTATAAGATCTGGAGACAAAGTGAGGTCAAAATAGTTCTACTGTAGGGATAGTCCCTCTTGCCTTCCTCTCACCCAGGGCCTCCTTCCCTGTGTCCCCTCTAACTACTTGACCATCTCCATGACAGCCACCTACAATTGGGCCCTTAGGCTGGGGGACTGCCAGGCCAGGCAGGACTGGAGTTGCTGAGAATGCTGTGGTTAGCGGTATCTGTTGCCCTTGGCCTCTCCAGTGATTTGGATACGCCCGTGGGCACTGCTTCTTCCATGAATATCAGAAACACTTCAAAGTGGCATTGTCAAAGGCTGCTGGTCAAGTCCTAGGGGTTAGCATCTGCCAGCTTGGATAGCCAATGAAGGGGACTGGGCTCACATGAGTGGGAAGCCTGGTAGACAATCTAACCCAGCTCCATCACTGCCTGCGGAAGACCTTGGGGATGGCTGACTGTTGGATGGCCAAGGCCCTTGCAATTTTAGGTCTTTTCCTCTGAATGGTGAAAACTTCTGGCTGCTGGGGGTGGGGGGATGGAAGGAGGCATGAGGTCTCTGGCTCTAAACAACTCAAGAGATGGCTCTTCCTAGATGCTGCCCACTGTTCTGCCTCCTTATTCAGGGAAAACAAAGGAAATACTTTGACACTGGGTGGGGCTATGGGTGATGTGTAGATCACTAAGGATTTAGCCAAGGACCAAAGACACACTGCTTCTGGCCAGAGTCCAGGGAAATTGAGATACAGTCCCCAGGGTTCTAGTTGGAGCAGGCTTTTCTTCAACACAGCCTACGTTTGTCTAGTTGCCACGATGGAGCATCAACAAACAGAGAAGTCTATAGTAGGCCCTCTCCTTCCAAGTCCTCACTGGAAACTGCCAAATCAAACCTCATGCCACTCACTTCCTCCTAAACCATTTGAGTTTCAGAAGATTGTAGAAAAAGGAAAGGAAAGCAAACAATCAAGCCAGCTCAAGGATACAAAGCCTTCTCCAGTGGGTCAGCTCACAGGGGTCTCTGACTCTCCGACTCCCTAGCACCCATAGCCTGTGTCCCATGTTGCACAATCTGTGTGCAAAATTCATTTATGCACACTTCCTTCCATCCAGGTTCTGTATCCAGACTCACAAGGGTTTTGAACACAAGAAACATAAGAAAAGGGGTTCATACATTTTCATGGCACCCCCTCCCCCTGTGACCCCATTGTCTAGTTCAGTTCCCAGGTGCTAATCAAAGCCCATGGAGCATTTGTTGACTGGCACAGTAAAGAGAAAAAATTAAAAAAAGACCTTGGCTCTGTAAGGGAAGCCTCCACCAGGATGCTTTCAGGCAGGGATGTGCTGCAGCCCAAATGCTGTCAGTGCCACTGAGGCCCACTGTGCACTTGAAGAGCTTTCCCAAGAGAGACTGCACACGGGCCTGGTGGATAAGACCTGGGAGCCATGTGCACTCTGAAGGCCCTACACCGCAAAAGCACAGGGCCAGGAGCCCAGGAGCTGCACACGAGCCCAGGCTCTGCAGCGGACCCGTATGCCAAGCAAAATCTGGTGGGTAGACGCCACTCTCCACACGCAGGTTCTCAAACTCTGCAACATAGGACCTGAATGCAGCTTCATTAACAGAGCAGGAGCTTGCTCCTGGCATTGGAAGGGGGCTGGCATTATTTTTGAGGGGGAGGAGAAGTTGCAGAGAAAGAAGAAATCCTGAAAACAGACAGTGGGACAGCTGTGGCTTGAACTTGGTGTTCTTGCTCCTCGGATGTGGATATATTAATTTCCATAAAATGCTAATAGCCAATTTCCCCAAGAGCTATTACTTATGTCATCTTTCCTTGGACACGGTTCAACACAGGACAGACAAATGAAAGGGAGGAAAAAGCAGCCCACACTGTGGGTCCCCTGCTCCCTGCCCCTCCCCCAACCTGGTAGCTCAGGTCTGGCCTCTAAGGTGACCCTGCTAACGATAGGGTCAAGACCCCATGCCTTCAACCTCACACCCAGGTCCCCGACCACACCAGGAAGCCAAGAAAGTTACCAACCCCAAAAATGCTGAATCACAAAGTGAGGCTGAGCAGGAAAGTGGGGGTGGGGAGGGAGGGAGATGGTCAGGAAGGCAGGAAAGAGTGTTAAGGGGCTTCCCACCTGGAGCACCTCAGGATGCTCTAGGCCAGGTGTAGCCCCTGCAGGAACCCCCAGGACAAATGTCAGGCAGAGCAGTGCCAGGATGCGCTTAGGTGGGAGGGTGGGAAAGTGGACAGGTACACTGCTGCTGTATTGCAGTAGGACGTGGTGCAGCTGCTGGGTCTCTGCATCCTGCAGGAGCAGCAGCAGGTAGGGAGGTGGGGGAGTGCTTTGTGTCAGGGCCTGGGCATGAGGGAGAGGCAGGAGATGGGGTAGGGTCCCAGGGACCTGGGCGGGGGTGCAGGGGGTGTAGGTAGCCAGAAAAACTGGTGCAGGCAGGGAGTGTCAAGGTCCTGGGGAGCAGGGCAAGGTGGAGAGAGTGCAAATCTGGAGAGAATGGAGGGGCTGGTTGTAGAATGTAAGGGAAGATGGGGACAGGGACCTGAGAGACAGGGTCAGGCAGCCAGGACAAGGACAAGCCTTAAGGACCAACAAGGAGGAGAGATGGGGAGAATTGGGACCAGGAGCGCTATGATGGGGTTACGCAGAGACTGGGAGAAGGGATTGGAGAGAACAGAGGGAAGGGGACGCGATGCTGCGGACACAGGAAGGAGGAAGAAATGGGGAAGAGGTACTCCTTGGGATGAAGGTGAGGGATGAAGTTTGGGGCAGGGGTCGGGTATGGGAGCTGAAAGGTCTGGCGGGATGACAGATAAGAGAGGAAGGGGAGGATGGGATGGGGGAAGGGAGATGATGGAGAAGAAGGTGAGGAGGCTGGAGAGGAGGTGAGAACGGAGGCGGGGGCAGGGACGCAAGGCTGGGGAAGAGGAGATGGAGAAGGGACGGCGGTACCCGCAGCAGCACGGGCCTCGCGGGTGCCCGCAGCCGCTCTCCCGGCGCAGGTACTCAGAAATCGCGGCCCTCCCGGGTCTCCCTCTGCACTCACCTGGGGGCGCCAGCTCCAGATCCTATTCCCCGCTCCGGATCTTCCTTCCCGCCCTGCCCCAGCGACTTTAGCGCCCCCGAATCCCGCTCGCTTGGGCAGGTTCCGCCCGCAGCATCTTCACCTCGTGGGACGCCCAGGGCCACGCCTCTTCCAGATTCTCTTTGGCTGTCGTTCACGCCAGTCACGCTTCCATTGGCTGAGAAAACCTTCGGCCATGCAAATTAGGACGGGCCCACCGCCGCGCCTATTGGATGACGCTTAGGGGGCGGAGCCCTCGATTTGGGCTCTGATTGGTCCCGTGGTCCTGACGTTAAAAGTGACGCGAGGCGGGCTCTCAGTCTGAGCGCGCGGCGCACCGCCCTTCGAGGGTCCTACGGCTGGTGACTGCGGACTGGGCGCGCGCCTCTTGGCCGGTCTTCCGCCCCCGAGGCCCGCGGTTCATCTGAGCATCGGCTGGCCGGCTCTGCGGCGCT